GCCTCTAGGTGAGTCAGCCTCTCTCGGGGGATGCCTTCAGGGAGAACCCAGAGGACAGGCTTAGCTCCCCTCTACTCCACAGGCAAGTTTTCTATGCAGAGGACGGCTGGCGATGGACGGTGTCGGCCCAGGCTTCCAGGAGAGGCTAGGATGGTCCAACACCCACATGCCCAACAGCTGAGGTGCTCCCACGGGCTCTGAGCGAGGGCTTGCTCATCCCGGACCAACATTGTGTCCAATAGCTCCCTGACTGCCATAGACCATCGGAGGGAAGGAGGCAGATTGTCCCCACTGACACTCTCAGTGGGCCCCACCTTACTGGAGCACTGGGTGCCCCTCCGGGGAAACAGAGAGCGGGTAGAGCAACAGGCAAGACATGGGGCACGTTCTTCTCACAGTCTCTCATTCACAGGCAGAGTCTGATAAGGCAGTGAAGACCAAGCATCTGTGACTCGGGGATAGTGTGGGCTCAGCAAAGGTGTAGAAGAAAGTGGGGGGGCAGGTGGGCTTTGTGAGTGCCACGGGCTGGCCTCTGAACCATTCTCATCTCATTCTTTGTCCCCGGCTTTAAGGCCCACACCCAGCAGTGCTCAGGTCCTTCTCCTAGTTCCTGCGCTCAGGGGTCACTCATGGTGGGACTCAGGGGACTGTGTGTGGTTTCGGGGATTGAACCCAGGTGGGATGCTGACACGACCAGTACTCTACCTGCTCTAAATCTCTCCAGCCCCCAGTCGACCTAATTCTATAGGTGTGTTTCCTTACTGAGACGGCCCAGGGAGTTTTGCATATATGTAACTACAACTTCAGTAGTTATTTATTTATTTATTTATTTGCTTTTTGGGTCACACCCAGTGATGCTCAGGGGTTACTCCTGGCTCTGCACTCAGGAATTATTCTGACTGATACTTGTTTTGTCCTTCTGTAGCTATGGCTGGCTATGAATTCATTTGGTTCTTCTGTGACCATGGTGATACAGTGTCGAAACCACCCAGCTTGTATATCATATTTTCTGTCTTTAAGGAACAAATGGAAATATAACCTATATTTTTGTTATTTTTTTATCTTGCATTGAACCAGGATTATGGAATGTAGTAACAGATACTTAGCAAGTGAGTTAAAAATCTAAATTAGCTACACAGGATTCTGCCCCTGAGACACATTAATAAACTATAGAAATGACAACCAGTGAAAAGCTCTGCACAAACCGACACACCCAGCAAACAGATGAGAGCTTTTCTAACCTCAGTGTTTCCTGGCGACGGACAAAGGCCCATGACTTACAACAGAGCCCACTTCCAGCTCTATCCTATGAATCTTCATTTTGAACATGATATTTTCTTTTCCTCTGGGTGAGTTTCAAAGTGGTTCACCGTTTACAGAGAGGTTGTGATGTTACATGAAATAATAAATACAAAGTACCTGAGACTCCTTGGAATAAAGTTTCCACAGTCAAGGAGATAACAATAGAACACACCAAGTCACGGTCAGTGAGGGGTGCGATTTGGTATCTTTTAGAAAGAGTAATTTTGAAGTATGGGAACAAGAAATAGATTTCGGATATTTAATATAGATCAGTCTACAAAAGTGTGATTCATGTGCAAGTTTTGGAAAACATTGCACCATGCAAAGTCATGTCTTTGTGGTTTGCTGGGGGACCCGTGGGCAGTGCTCAAGGACTTGAGTCTTCCCTGAAATACCTGACAGCGTAGGCCAGTTTTTCACTTCAGGCAGGGTCAGCAGAGCCACGAATGCCTGGGCCAAGCCCAGACACCCCCCCACCCCACACACACACACAAACAGGCAGCACCCCGATGTCTGACTTACCTCCCAGCCCCTGGAAGAAGGGGGTGATTAATTCATCCCCAAAGCAGAAAGCAAGTCCTTAGCATAGGGAATGTGTTAAGTCAGAGACATGACATTTGAGCCACTTAAAATTATTTGCAAAGAACCATACAACCATTCTATGCGTTTAAACTTTGTGTAATATTTAGTATCCATTAAATTTAGAATTTTAAAGCTCTGATTTGTAGATTTCAGGTCTTAAAAGCCACAGAATTGGTCGTAAAGTGCCTGGCATGTGACAGATGTTCTATGTGACACTGGCCAAAGAACCCGGAAGCTGAGAGAGGTGGTAGCAGGTGTTATGAGCAGGGGAAAATGGGTGCGAGTTGTCTGGTGCTACTAAAACAAACTCACTGTTCTCCCACGAGATGTGACTCCAGGGAGGCGGGGGTCTCTGGGAGACGAGACTCATTAGGAGGGTGTGGACCTGTCCAAGGCGACTGGGTGTTGCAGGATAGCCTGCTGACGTGGCCGCCACCTGAAGGAAGGTGCAGTGCAGAAAGTGATGCGCTCGTGTCCCCTAACAAATGCAAAGTAGCAAGAGGATAAATGGGCTGAGTGTGGAGACTAGCAAAGAGGCAGCTGGACAAAGAGCAGCTGGGGGCCGGAGTGCAGGAGTGTGACGCATCCCCTGAACACCCGAGGGAGCCTGCACCTCCCCTACTCCTCGGGGCGCGCGTAGTGCTGCCTATACCCCCGGGGAAGAGGTGGTTAAGCTGTTAGCCCTCATGTCCAGAGCTCACCCCCGCCCCTCGCGTCCTGTTCCCAAGTCCCTTCTATTCCGGGAGCCCCTTTTTCATCCCCAGCTTTGCTCCCCTGGTGTTGGACGGCAGCTATGCCTTTAAGGACCTGATCACTGGCTCCTTGGCTGCCCGCTGAGACTCCCACAGAGAGCAATCCAGAGGCAAGAAAGCGCATCCCTGCTGTCCGCAGGACAAGAGGGGGTCAGACTTAGCTTGTGTCATGAGAGTTTAGAGCACGAACTGCCCCTGTTGGGGAGGGTTCGCCTTGACTCAAGCTGACTGCACGTAATGGCTGTGATTTCACTGGGGAGGGGGATGCCCACGTTACAAGGCTGCCAGCAGCAACCTGCTGAGAGCGTGCAGGGTTCAGGCCTGAGCAGACCCGCTGGCTGACTGTGGGGGAGGGGAGGTCTGCTCTGAGTGAGGCCCTGGGGGTCCTCACTGGGGACTTTAGGACCATGGATGTGCAGTCCAGAACACAACCCCAGCCAGGCCCAGTTCAGTGCTCACACTGATTCCATGTGCCAGCAGTGTAGACGTGGGATCACCTGTGAATTTTATTTCTTATTTATTTGTTTATTTTAATTGAATCACTGTCAGATACAGTTACAAAGCTTTGATGATCGAGCTTCAGTCATAGAATGATCAAGCACCCGCCTCTCCACCAGTGCACATTTTCCACCACCAGTGTCCCCAGAGTATCTCCACCACCACCCACCACACCCCCACCCTCTATGGCATACAGTTTCCTTCCTACTCTCTCTCTCCTTTTGGACATTCTGAGATATTGAAAGACCATCACCATTGGTCCTTTATCTACTTTCAGCACACATCTCCCATCCCGAGCCATCCTTCCAACCATCATTGACTTAGTGGTCCCTTCTCTATCCCAGCTGCCTTCTCCCCCAGCACATGAGACAGGCTTCCAACCATGGGGCAATATTCCTGGTCCTTGTGTCTACTGTCCTTGTGTGTTAGTCTCATATTATTTTATATTCCACAAGTGAGTGCAGTCATTCTGTGTCTGTCCCTCTTTTTCCGACTCATTTCACGTAGCCTGATACACTCCAAGTCCATCCACATATTAGCAAAATTCATGACTTCATCTTTTCTAATAGGTGCATAGTATTCCATTGTGTAGATGTACCATAGTTTCTTTAACCAGTTGTCTGTTCTCGGAGACTCGGGTCATTTCCAGGTTCTGGCTATTGTGAACAGTGTTGCAATAAACATACAGGTGCAGATGGCATCAGTGAATTCTAATCTGGGCAGGTCCTTGCCCACAGCCAGGTCTTCCTGGGTGCTGACCTTTTGTCTGTTTATGTTGATTCACCTGTTACTCTGTTGCCACTATCTTTATATTAGGGGGTTCACTGTCTCTGGGTGGTCCCCCTTTCTCATCAGTTGGGTCACAATACTACCAATGCACATAACATTTGTCCCTTTCAGGATAACTGTGATATTGGGGCCGGTTCTGACACCGGAAATTGAGTCAGGTGTGACCAGGTCAGGACACACTTCTCAGTGTTCCCTACTCTTGAGGGCTCAGCCACCCTCTGCTGCTCATCACCCACTCCCTGGCTCAGAGCCTGGCCTGCTACAGTCCTCGGTACACTGAGGTGCTCAGAAAGCATAAATACAGATGGCTGGTGATGAAATAGCCCTCTCTGACCGTCAGCAGTTAGGCCGAGGAATGATCTCACTGGTTCTTGAACGTGAGCATGAAGTTATGGGTGAATCTTGAATTACTAGAAAACATTCCGTGAAAAATGACATTTCCTATTTTAAGAAGAAAAATAAAAGCAACAGGGGCTGGAACGATGGTGCAGGGGGAAAGGTGTTTCTCCTGGGTCTTGCCCCGGGCACCCCCTATGGATCCCTGAGCGTGCCAAGAGTAATTCCTGAGCACAGAGCAAGGAGTAACACCTGAGCAGCACTGGGTGTGGTCCCCAAACCAAACAAAAATATGAACAAAAAAGGCAGCAAACCAACTGAACACAGACACTTGTCATTGCTGTTTGGACACTGGTTCTAGGTGCTAGGACAGCTTAGGAGTGTCCTTGCCTGAGTAAGAAGCCACATCCGGGTGGCCTGTCAGACACAGCTGCTGCCTGCCTGGTGGGGCCATTCCTTAAAGACCCCTGGGGTTGCCCCCCCCCCCCCCCGCCACATTCCTACTTGGGCTCTTACAGGACCGTGTTATAAGCACGCGACTCATTAACCCTTCTAGAGAAAAAGGAAAGGACAGAGGTGATCCCTCCCACTTTCTTCCATAAAAGTGACTTGTGTGTCCTTGAGCAGAGCCAGCCAGGAATGTCGGCAGCAGCAGCTTGGGAGGCTTGGGTCGTGCTCCCTGGGGAGAGGGGTCCGGGGGGTGCCCCTGCCTCACTGGGCTCTGTGCTTGCGTCTCTGCAGATCGACGGGCTGGACGTGGACAGTCTGTTTAGCAACATCGAGTCAGTGCTGCAGGTCTCGGCCCGGCTGCTGGCACTGCTGGAGGAGGCCACGGCAGGCGTGGAGCCAGACGCACAAATCATCGGTACGTTCACTCTCCCCTCACCCCCAGCTCCCGGGAAGCCGGGTTCCAGTGACCTCCCTTGGCCTGACGTCCTCTTTTCTGATGGCCACGCTGCCCAGAGATGCGTCAATGCCAAGCCCATATCATATTCGCTCTTGATCACACAGACCCTGTATTTATTTTCCGCTGGGTTCCCATGCGTTTGCCGGCAGCCCTCGAGACACCATTTGCTTTTTAATTTTCAATCTTTCAGCCTCTTTGCCTTCCAGATGTTCTCTCATCTTGTTTTATGACTCCCATTCCCTCGATCCTTAAAGAATTAAATATTTAAAGACGTTTAATAGCTTTACTGATTTTAGTGCAAGTGTTTTCCAGGTCTTTGCCTATGAATTGATCGGTTTTTGAATTGTAAATTTTCTGTGGATGCAGCCTTGGTTTGATCTATAAGACAGAAACACAAGGCCGACTCTCTCCATGCTTCCCCTTTTAGCTCTATATTATTCACTTTCCAAATAGTTTTGGACCCTTCATGATAGATTGTGCTGTTACTCTGGTAAGATGGGGCAGGGGGAGGGGAGCATCCCAAGCAGTGCAGCACTCATGAGGCCCAGAAGCCCACTAGCAGTTCTCAGCCCCTGGACGGTGCTTCATGCAAGGGGTTCTGTCCAGGCCTTGGGCTTCTGGGATCACACCCAGCGATGCTTGGGGGACTAAGTGGCTTCTGGGACTCTAGCCCGGGCCCTGTCTGGTGTATACAGTCACTGCGGCACTGTCTCCGACTCCCTCGAGGATGGTTTCTGAAGAAAATGTCAAGATGTCCTTAAAGAGTTGAGTCTTATTTGAGTTTTCTTCTGTTTTGGGGGGGTCTTATAGAGGATACCATGTGCTGGCTTCCGGAAGGCCATGTACTTGCCCAGGCTGTCAGACACATAGGCCATGCAGGCTAAGATTCATTTAAGAACGTTTGAAACCATTTTCCATTTCCCACGTAATGGGTTGCACAAACTCATTACAGGACAACCAAAAGCAGTTCAGGAGGCAATTCAGAGTCATAGCAGAAATTCTTCCGGTCCGCCCTGCAGTGCCACCATCTGTCCATGGATGCAGAGTGTTTTCGGCTGGATATCTTATTCCTGCCACCTCTGAGTCTTGCCCCTGGAGACTCTGGATCTTCCAAATACCAGGGCAAGACCCTATATGCTGCCCGTAGCACTCTGCCTCCCATTAACAAGGAGAAATACCAGGAATGGAAGGACGGCGAGTGGGTGTGGGTGTGGGCACATCTGCATGTGTCTTAGAGATGGGACCCTCACATGCAACCAAAAACAAACTCTGCATTTATGGGGAGACAGTGCACCTGCACCCTCCTTCTCTCTCTCAGCAGAGTGTCTGGGAGTGTAGGTGTGAATGTGCTGCTGTGGGCACGTGGGCACCCAGAGACAGTGGTGTCTCCTCCTCTGCTCCTCCTCTCTCTTGGAAACCCTATCTGCCTTTAGCGGGGTCCCGGGCATGAGCTGCTAACAGCCACCTGCCCCTGCTCTGTGGGGACAGTGTCTGATGCCACAGGCCCTGCCCCAGGGGCTAGTTGTGTCATGGTCCACGCTGCCCAGCCCTGAGCTGAGAAGGCCATGGGAGCAATGGGAGGAGGGCCAAGACCGTGCAGTGGGGGCGGATGCCCCTGCAGTGGCCGCCTCATTTATTTTATGCTTCATATCCATAACTCTTCTCATTGTCCCGTTGTGCTTGTTTGGCAATAAACCCTCTCAGAAGCAAGGGTTAATATATGCACATCTAATAAAAATTAAGTATTGATTTTCTGTTTCTCGAGAAAGTTGATGCTGCACATATATATAATATATATATACATATATAAATATATCATAGAGAGCATGGCCCACCCCCAGGAGGCTGAACGCTCTCGGGGGGCAGGAGCCAGGGGAAGGCAGAGTGTTGACGCAGCCGCAGCTCCTCCTGAGACTGTTCTGGAAGGGAGCACTGTGGCAGAGGCCTGCGGGGAGCACCCCCGCTCTTCTGTCACCTTCGGGTCTGAGTCTCCCGCCGCTCCCGAGAAGTGATGGGGTGACCAGCAATGAGTGATGTTGGCAGAAGACCTTGCAGAAGTTCAGTTGTGCCAGTTTTCAGAGAGTGAACAAATGAACAAGGCTGAGAATCATCTCATTCTCATATAGATTCGAAAATCGTAGGGCTGGAGGGAGAGCATGCGGTGAGGACGAAGGCCCTGCACACGGCCAGCTCAGGGTCAAGTTCCAGTACACACCTGTGGTCCCTGGAGCCCCACCAGGGGTGACCCCTGAGCACAGAGCCAGAAGTCAGCCCTGAGCACAGCACCCTCCTCACCCCAAATCAGAGCACTGTATCACTGAAACATAATCATGAACCTCTTTGTAATAATTTAGATAGATTTTTTAATTGAGATAGATTTGTAATAATCTATCTCACGGTGATTCAATAAAATTTAAAAAATGATGTTAAAAAACAAATTAAAAATCAATTAAGCCCGACTTCCACTTTTAAGCCGACAACGTTATAATTTACAAGACAACTTGTTTAATATGCTTCTAAGTTTTTGTTTAACTCCTCTCTAGTACAAAATTCTACATTTGCGGAGACTTTATTTGGGAATTGTTTTTGGTAATATGGCATACTGATATAAATTTGTTCTATTAATTTGTAAAAATATAATCATGTTGGTTACCTGGTTACCTTAAACAAAATCGTAATCCAGTTTTCTGAGTCAAAGAAAAGCTTTTGGGACTTCACTGCTGTCACCTTAAAATCAGCACCGTGAGTGCCGATGGTAATACAAATGCGATGGTAGCATATGCTTCGATAAAAGGAAGGCTTCTGAGGCACAGAGGTGCTTAGAGCAGGTGTGGTGCAGATAGACAGTCGTGACCTGTCATTAACTGAAATAGCAGCTGGAGTAGTCTTAGGGTCGTACAGTGGCAAAGCTTGTGTGAACTGCACAGGGTTTAGAGGATGAGCTGACTCTAGCACTGTCTCCTGCCTGACCACTTGCTCTGCAGCCGCTCACTAACCAGCTTTGGAAGATTCTGTTCCCAGCCCTTTGGAAGCCTTTAGTCAAGGTATTCAACATACAGTAATTTGGGCTATTTAGTTTTTACAGTTGCAGTTATAGAAAGGAAAATTTCAAATAAGAAGTGGTTGACATTTGATCCCTACAAAAAAGCGAAGACCTAACTTTAAAACTTGAACAATGGGAGTTCACAAGCATAAAAGATTTAATTTGAAAATTCTAATTATGCTTCGGAAAACTTGACTTTTCCTTTCTGCTTATAGAAAGACATATTTGCTCAAGATCCCATTATAAAAGGGTCAAAATCTGCATTCTGTACCAAACTTTTCAAAATTAGTATTTGGAAAAATTCTCAAAAATCACAAATAGAAACAGCATGTTGGTGAGCATTATTTAGCAAAAATAAAAAATAAAGCAAAGGTTTCAAAATGAAGCCAGAGACTATGAGAATATTTCTGCTCAAATATTGACACTTTGCAATATATAGATCATCAGAATTTTAAATCTTCCTCTTAGCAGAAATATCTGAGTTTATATGATCTCTCTGTTTATAGAGAATTTTTCCCAATTAAAAATAATATGGTTTACATAATTGAGGCAAGATAAATAATACCAATACTAGATTACAACCCATATAATAAAGTAAATATTGGCTGAGTTGAAATTGGTATGAAGAAAATGAAGAGAAATAAAATCTCTGGGAGCGTCTTTTGGGAGCAGAAGCTCGAAGCTCATCCCCAGGCCTGTGTAGCCCCAGCTGCTTGGGCAGAACCGCTGGGGAAAGTGAAGACCATGGTCTCAGTGTCTGGGATGGAGACCAGGGCAGCTCATTCAAAGGACAGTGAGTTTTTGTGGGGGCCACAACCAGCAGTGCTTAGGACTTAAGCCTGGCTCTGTGCTCAGGGCTCACTCCCGGCTCTGCGCTCAGGGTTGACTCCTGGCTCTGTGCTCAGGGCTCACTCCCAGCTCTGTGCTCAGGGCTCACTCCCAGCTCTGTGCTCAGGGCTCACTCCCAGCTCTGTGATCAGGGATCACTCCTGGCTCTGTGCTCAGGGCTGACTCCTGACTCTGTGCTCAGGATTTACTCCTGGCTCTGTGCTCAGGGATCATTCCTGGCTCTGTGCTCAAGACTTACTCCTGGTTCTGTGCTTAGGGTTACTCCTGGTGGGCACTGGGGGACCATCAGGGATGCCAGGGATCAAAGCCCAGGTTGGCCGCATGTAAGGTCAAAGCTCTGCCCACTGTGTTATCTCTCTGGCCCTCAGAATACAGAGATTCCCTATGGCTGAAGAGGTTGGCCACAGGGACTCCAGGCCCTGCACGTGCGGGCCGGCCATGGTCACAGCGAGCTCTGGGGACCCCTGCTGAGTCTTGCAACTGGACACCTACATTCCATAACACGCCAACATCACAGGACTGTGAAAACCAACAGTTCCCGGTGCCTGTTTCTCTGCCCTAGGGCAGGGTGTGGACAGGCTGTGGTTCACAGCACTGGTGCCAGGGTGGGGGATGCTCCTCAGTCATGACCCCCAGGGCTGGCCAAGCGTCGGCTCGAAGCGTGGAGGCTGGTACTTCCCGACTGAGAGCCCTGGGGAGTGGCTGGGTTGGACCGTCATGTTAAGAGAGAAACAGGGTTTGTGATCTTTTTTTTTTTTTAAGTTTTTTTATTATTATTATTTTTTATTTTTATTGGGCTGGAGCGATAGCACAGCGGGTAGGGCGTTCGCCTTACAAGCGGCCAACATGGCCGACCCGAGTTCGATTCCTCCGCCCCTCTCGGAGAGCCCGGCAAGATACCGAGAGTATTCGATATGCCAGACACAGTAACAACAAAGTCTCCAATGGAGACGTTACTGGGCCCGCTCGAGCAAATCGATGATCAACGGGAGGGCCTTTACCTTTTACCTTTTATTATTTTTTATTAGTGAGACACCATGAAGTACAGTTGTAGACTTACAAATTT